CCCATGGGTATATCTTGCTGTACAAGTTGGTTCTTACCATCAAGTTGTGATGGGCAACCAAAAGCAATAGCAATAGGTGTATTTGTGTGTGTGTGTGTGTGTGTGTGTGTGTGTGTGTGTGTGTGTGTCTCCAGTATACCTCTGCCCAACAACTCAAGTAGAGGTATCCCACATCTGGCACTGGGTCTTTTATTTTTAGACAACTATGGCTTCTGGTAGGAGCATCATTCCCTCTGTAGGGGCAGCTCCAATTTCGTTCTTTTCTGTAATATTCATTTTGACTTAATCTGTAATTGCTGTGGGATGTCTTTCTGTACACTGTGAATATGTGTTGTTCCAGTTGGTTGATAAATAAAGCTGCATTGGCCTATGGCAGGGCAGGATGGAGCCAGACGGGAAAATCCAAGAGAGACAGTGAAAGGAGAAAGGAGAGGAAGGGGAGACGCCAGCCACTGCCCAAGGAGCAACATGTAATGGGACTCAGGCAAAGCCACGTAACACGTGGCGATACATAGATTAATAGTTATGGGTTAATTGAAGATGAAAGAGCTAGCCAGCAAGAAGCCTGCCATACGCCATACAGTTTGTAATTAATATAAGCCTCTGAGTGGTTATTCTATAAGCGGCTGCGGGGCCTCAGGGTTGGGCGGGACACAGGGAAACTCCATGTAATATTTACTTATTTTTTCTGCTGTAGAAATTGGCTTCTTTGATTATGAAGCTCCCTGCAAACAGCATGGTTTTCACCCTTAACTGAAGATAAAGTAACGAGGTCCATTTGACTTGTCCATGACTGCAGTGTCAAAGTGACTTACTACCTCTGTGGCCTTGAGTCATCAGACGTTTTCCCTAAGTCACCAAGGGTCTAAAAGGTGTGACTTTGCCTCATTTTGCAGAGGCAGAGGAGGACATGAGGGCCATATTTTGGAGGGTTAGATGTATCTGCTTAGTCACACCTGTAGATTTTCTTCTTTCTCTTCTCTTCGGGTGACAGTTCCTACACACATGAAAGTCTTCTATTACAAATTTTAAGGTCATATTTTATGTCCATCCAAACACTGAGATCCTGGGTCAGAATCCTTGACAATTTGAACTGTGTTAAAATTTCCAAGTTCTGTCGGAGTGAATTCTAGAGAATACCTTTGAGGAATTCAATGTTACATGCCCTCAAATGTGTTTTTGCTTTTAAATTTAAATTTAATTTTTTCTTCCCCCTCCCTGCTTCAGAATTAAAGAGCAAAGAGATAAAATTTGGTTACAATATTGTGGAAATAAAATAGATATATTTTTTTTAAACTTTCTAGCCTCTAACCATGATTCCAAAATTAAAGGACATAAAGTAGAAATTCCAACAAGTTTAATTCCAGATACAAGCACATGATTGTAGTTGGCATACTTAAAATCTCGAATTTTTATAAAGAAATAGAAAACTAGAGTGTATTTGGCTATTGCTGAACCAAGTTATAAATCATATTACAGAATTATGATAATGATCCTTAGTAATCAGCCTTTTTCATAATTTCTTTTAGGTTTTAGAATTTCCCTTATAGTCCTCAGATACAAGCATCCTAATTAAAGCCTAGTTGGTACATTTGATTATTGGATCTTTCATTTCATTTTTATTGGTGTCTAACTGTGAATGTATGCCACGTGTGGGTGCCCTAAGTCAGAAGTGGGTGTGGGATGCCCCGAAGGAGCTGGAGCTACAGGTGATTGTGAGACACCTGACATGGGTGCTGGGAACCGAACCAGGGACCTTATGAAAAAGGGCGGCTTTGGTGATAACAAGAAAAACACTAAAAGATGTGCTTTAATGTCTTGAAAAATCGTTAAGTGGGAGAAAGTGAGACTTATTGGTCGTTTTGGGAAACAAAACCAAACCGGTGATGCCTTCTACTCTGCGGGTGTATGAGGTGCTAACTATATTTATTCTACTGAGGATTACCCAGTGGGCAATAAAGCTAGAGCTCAAGACTAGTCTCTTCCCATTCCTAAGCCAACCTGGGCTGAAGCTTCCTTTTCTTCAGTTCTTACACCTGCGTCTTGATAGGTAACAAGTGAAAACGCATCTCGATGGATCTCTTTCCCGATCTCTTATCCTGGAAATACAGACATCAACCCAGGGGGCCACTCGCTTACAATATTCCCTGGTCGAGTCCTAGAACAAACTAAACCGGATACACGGAGAGTAAATCGCTGTAGACAAGGCTCGAATCTCAAAGGCCCTCCCCGGGCAGGAGTACTGACTGACCCTTCAAGTCAGTATTTACTTAGCGCCTGCGTGTCAGTGTTGGTGCCGCCTCTCCCAGCAAAGGATTTATTTCACTGCCAACAGCATCCCCTTTAGGGAAGATGACCGCAGTTCTTACCCGCCGCCCACTCTGGTTTTCAGCTTGGTCCAGGAACGAAACGGAGTTACCGGCTGTTCCCTCCATCGTCCTCGTTTTCCTCCATTATTGGAGAGGTAGAAGAGGCGGAGCGCCCCGGAAGGACCCTTGGAGACTCATGTACTGGAAAACCGAGGTTTGGAGTGGGGAGGGGTCACGGCAGAGCTAATAAACGCAAGCTTACCTTAAGACCCCACGTCCAGGATCCCAAACCGACCACAGGAAGGGAGGCCGTGTGCTAACAGCTTTTTCCGCTGAAACCGTGGGTGGCTCTGAAAAGAGCCTTTGGGTTACGGTGAGGTCCGCCGCTCACTTGGAGCTGGTGTACTTGGTGACGGCCTTGGTGCCCTCGGACACGGCGTGCTTGGCCAGCTCCCCGGGCAGCAGCAGGCGCACGGCCGTCTGGATCTCCCGGGACGTGATGGTCGAGCGCTTGTTGTAGTGCGCCAGGCGCGACGCCTCGCCCGCGATGCGCTCGAAGATGTCGTTGACGAACGAATTCATGATGCCCATGGCCTTGGACGAGATGCCCGTGTCGGGGTGCACCTGCTTCAGCACCTTGTACACGTACACCGAGTAGCTCTCCTTGCGGCTGCGCTTGCGCTTCTTGCCGTCCTTCTTCTGGGCCTTGGTCACGGCCTTCTTGGAGCCCTTCTTCGGGGCGGGGGCGGACTTCACTGGCTCGGGCATCTTGAGACAGCAACTACAGGAACTGTAGCACCGAGTCAGCACGTAACTTCCCTTTTTATAAGGGCGTTATTCAAATGAGGCTGAGAAAAGAACACTTCTGATTGAGTGCTATTTTGATGATGTCATCCGGAGTCTTGCCCAATCAAAGTGTGCAGGTCGGCACAAACGCTTCTCATTGGCCTAAACGAAAGGAAAAAGACAGCCAATCGCACGGGTTCTTTTTCGCGCCCAGAGAAGACTATAAGGCCGAAGGTCTTGCGGTTCTCATGCACCCAGTTGGTAACGGCTACTGTGTGTTCACCATGTCTGGACGCGGCAAGCAGGGCGGCAAGGCTCGCGCCAAGGCCAAGACCCGCTCGTCCCGCGCCGGCCTGCAGTTCCCCGTGGGCCGCGTGCACCGGCTCCTCCGCAAGGGCAACTACTCGGAGCGGGTGGGCGCCGGCGCCCCGGTCTACCTGGCGGCCGTGCTGGAGTACCTGACGGCCGAGATCCTGGAGCTGGCCGGCAACGCAGCCCGCGACAACAAGAAGACGCGCATCATCCCGCGCCACCTGCAGCTGGCCATCCGCAACGACGAGGAGCTCAACAAGCTGCTGGGCCGCGTGACCATCGCGCAGGGCGGCGTCCTGCCCAACATCCAGGCGGTGCTGCTGCCCAAGAAGACCGAGAGCCACCACAAGGCCAAGGGAAAATGAGGCATTTGACCAAAGCCACTTCAAAAACAGACCAAAGGCTCTTTTCAGAGCCACCCACACTGTCCTTAAAGAACTGAACATTTTTTGGCTGTGTAACTATGCAATTTCCTCTAGCCAAGTGTCTTATAGTTAGCCATTAGGTTTTAAGTCTTACTGTGGGAGGATAGTTCATTTCCCCCTCTTGGTCGTTGAGTCAATTTGACAGTTAACCAACCCATAGCTTCCCACACCAGAATCAGTGCTTTTGTGTAAATAGTGTTTGAAGAAACTACACTGAATGAGAGAATCGATTTGCCAATTTGAACGGCTTTTTGTTTAATGTTCCTCCCAAACTTCATAATCCCTCCACATAAGTTTGAAAACATTCAAATACACTAGTTTTTGCTTTAAATATTTAAATCGTTCTTTAATATCTCACGTCATACTTTGATTACAATCTTAAGGCCATTCCTTTGCATTTAAAAATTTTGACAATAGGGTTGTTTTTGGTGGGAAACTAGGTAATTAGACACTTAAATTGTTCCTTGAATTCCTCACCTATAAATTTTTTTATCGATGAAAAATTTGAAATAACTTGAGTATTGAAATGTGCATGGACACTGATGGTGGCCATTAGCAAATATTTTCCTTCTGCTGAATTGGAATTTTAGTAGGCCAATAATTGACATATACACTATATTGAATTTTGAAGGGCCAAAATAAAAGTAAAATATTTGAGAGCATACTAATTACCAGCGGTACTAGCGTGGGCACATTACCTGGCATATTATTTACCCAGCTTTAGTGTACTTTTTAGGAAAAACTGCCACTAGCACATATGTCTATCGGAGGAAGCATGCATAAAACAACCTATACCTTTGAAATAAAGAAACAGGCCATAGATCACGAAGTATCAAAGGATGTGCAAACATTTTTTTGAGACAAGGCCTGTCACTATATAATTCAGGTTGGTCTTCATCTAGTAGCGATTCTCCTGCCTCAGTGTCCCGAGTGCAGGGGGTACTGGGTGACGATTTTAAAACCTACATTTCAGACTTAAGCGCAGGATTGCCCGGGGGTGGGGTGGGGGCGGGGGAGAAAGGGCGGCGGCGGCGCGGCAAACGCGCGTGCGCAATGGACCAATCCCTTTATAGTTGAGTAGGCCCAGTGTACTCTCGTCCAATCAGCTTCAGATTCTGATTATAAATAAGCCTTCCTCCGAGCCCACTCCACTGTGCTCAGCTCTGAGGTCATGGCACGCACCAAGCAGACCGCCCGCAAGTCCACCGGCGGCAAGGCCCCGCGCAAGCAGCTGGCCACCAAGGCCGCCCGCAAGAGCGCCCCGGCCACCGGCGGCGTGAAGAAGCCGCACCGCTACCGGCCCGGCACCGTGGCGCTGCGCGAGATCCGGCGCTACCAGAAGTCCACCGAGCTGCTGATCCGCAAGCTGCCGTTCCAGCGCCTGGTGCGCGAGATCGCGCAGGACTTCAAGACCGACCTGCGCTTCCAGAGCTCGGCCGTGATGGCGCTGCAGGAGGCGAGCGAGGCCTATCTGGTGGGTCTGTTCGAGGACACCAACCTGTGCGCCATCCACGCCAAGCGGGTCACCATCATGCCCAAGGACATCCAGCTGGCCCGCCGCATCCGCGGGGAGAGGGCGTAAGGTTTTCTCTGCGTTTGCTTTTTCCAAAGGCTCTTTTCAGAGCCACCACCTTCTCACTTGAGAGGCTGTTTTCACGAAGAGTCAACTACAAGGGGCCTTACAGAATACTAAAAGCATAATAACTTGTATTAACTTATTCTCAGACAACCCATCATAAATACTAGATAGGAGCTCTATTAGTTTGCCTTAAGATTTATCTTAAACTTTTTAGTGACGAGAATGTCAGGTCCCAGCAGTTATGAGCCTAACTGCATGCTTCTATTCCTAGCAATGACATTGTAGCACTGGACCGTTTGTAACTTTCAGGGTACCTGGAGCCCTCTTAGGGCATCCAAGGGCACTAGTATGTATGTGGTACACAAGAGGTACACAGGCAGGCAACTAACACGATTGTGATTTAAGCTCGCGAGGAGAATACCCACTTGTGTGTTTTAAGTTTATGGTATGGAATAGATTACAAGCTGTGTGGAGATGCAACTCCATCCAACATCTGACCTAATGGTTTTAGCGCAAAGGGAAGTTCCAGCAAGGCCTGTTCTTCCAGGTTCTTGACCTGTGTTCAGCAGTCTCCTCACCGGTATGGAATGAGGCTCTGCAAAGGAGAAAGGGAAGAATGAACTTTCACATTAATGTCTTGCTTTGGAGGACTGCAACTCTAGTTTCTATTTCCTGGTTTGTTGAAGAGGAATTCTGGTTCCAGTAACGAGGTTTGAGAGGAAAGGATACAGGAGGGTGGGAGAATGCTAGACATTTCTTTCTCAAGCCTGCCACTCTTTTAGTATTGAACTCTGAGCCTCATCAAGAATAGTACCAAGATTTAAGTCACGGTCAATGCAACAAAACAACAAAAACAAAACAAAAACCAAAAACGACTACTGGGTGGAACACTTGGTAGACCAGGTTTCCCTTTTTATTCATCGTGTTTTATGTACATTGGGATTTTCCCTGCATGTACCACTCAGCCATCTCTCCAGCTCCTAAGTAGTCTGTGACATACCAGATCACAACACTCTCAGGGAGGATTCTCATTAGGTTACCTTTCCCGTTATTAGTTTTCTCCTGTATTTATCTTAAATCCCCAGACCCTTAGAATAGCTGATAAGCTGCATGGTTGACTTTTCTGGTTTTGCTGCAAAGCTTTTCTCTGTATATCTCATGAAATTAAATAATTTCCCCTGTTAATGTGCCTTTTGTCAGTTTAATTTCAAGGCCACAGGCATGGAACCTAAAGGTAGATGAAATCTTTCTTTTTTTGTTTTGAACTCTTCATTAGAGAATCAGATGAGAGAGAATGAGACCCAAGATTTCTATGTTTGAAGATTTCAGATAGTTTATCCAGGGCTTTTTCTGTGTCCACAGATAGAATGCTTCTTGGTTTGAAAATATCTGTTGCAAGGAAAGGGGGTTGTTGAGCCTTTTCGACAAGATTCCCACACCAGTCACTTACAACCTAGTAACTCAATGAAAATACACTCTCGTAAGGAACAGCAGCATGTATTGTTTTGTACGTGCAGATCACACTTCAAAATGTACTAAGACAAGCTGACTCTTAAGATTAAATGTGGCATTCCTTCCAAAAGTAATAAAAATGTCGCCCCGTTTTAAAGGTGAATATCACTGACATTGAACGTGAGAGAAGAAGGCCGGTGGGGGAAGTCTCTGTTGCTGTGAAAGACAGGACATGGCCAAACAGCTGGAGTCTTGGGAACCAAGCAGGACTCGCCTTCGGTGTGTCCTGGGACGAAGTCATTTTGAGTCTCTGCATTCTGCCTCTTATTTGTAAACGTAAAGGAGAGGATGTCTGGGTGCACTTGCTTCCCCGGGTAGAAAGAAGGGCAGAGGGGCCAGATTGAACAGCAGTTTCATCTCTACACACTGCAAAGAAATACAGAGCGAGAGCACTGCTTCTCGGATGTTTTTGGGAGGAAGAAAACCTTAATCACTTCTCACCAGAAATGTGGCAAGTCTGAGAGAAGCAAAGGGTTCGCAAGCAGCACACGGCTGGGGTTTGAATCCCTCTTACCCAAACATTTATACATAGAACAAAGAACTGCATTTGGCAATCGGGGGTGAGCCACATCTAAGCGTCAATTACACGGCACCAACTGCTGCTCTCTACTTCTCAGGCTGGTTAGCTTCTCTTATAAAGAAAGCTCTTTGCACACCGACATTATCAGAAATAACTCTCATGAGCCCTCTTAACCTGAGAGTCTCATACCCACCAACCACAAAGACTAGTGTGTCCGGGCTGTGAACAAAGGGAGACTAAGGAGCCTGACTGCCATGCTGGGGTGGCCCATTAGCGATGGGTAGTTCCAACTGCGAGGTGGGTAGAGATATTTCCCACAGACCTCTCTAGAATCTGGAGTTCCCGCACAGTCCTTTGCCTTTTTCTGAAAATCCTGGTAAGGTTCTCTGGTAAGACATTGAGTAAATATTGATGGCACAAGGTGTTCCCTATCAGGTAAAAAACCTGTTCATAGCCGGGCGGTGGTGGCACACGCCTTTAATCCCAGCACTCGGGAGGCAGAGGCATGTGGATCTCTGTGAGTTCAAGGCCAGCCTGGGCTACAGAGCGAGATCCAGGACAGGCACCAAAACTATACAGAGAAACCTTGTCTCAAAAACAAAACAAAACAAAACCTCTTCATAAAACCACGTCCCTACAGTCTGACCTTATTGTCTTTTGTGTCTACAAAAGCAAATCTGACTACATTGAAGATGAGGAGGGTCTGGGCAAAGGCCGTGCTAAGCACCTCTGCAAAGTCCTGCACAACACACAGAATTATCACCAAGCCTGCCGCCTCCTGGCCCAGCAGGGCTGCATCAAAGGCATCACTGGCTCAGCTATTCCAGAGGCTGCCTTAGTCTCCCAGGGCTGTATACATTTTTCTGTACCGGCTGCTGTTTCTGTGATTAATTCTGGGGTTCCCTTCGAACCTTGAACTGTGTAACTTTGTAACTTGTAAATGAATGCCACTCACCAGCCATGTCTCTTTCAGTGATAGTGTAACACAGTCAAATCTCAATGCCTTGTGCGTTTGTAACTACAGGAAGGTGCTGGGTCACCCATTTTGAATTTTTTTCGCGCCAAAACCGCAAAAGTCGAGAGAAAGGCAGTCAGAACTGCAATTTCTAAAGCAGTTTCCTGTGATGGAACTGTTGGAGCCGTTCTTGGGTGCGATCAAGTGTGGGAAGTGCTGATGACGCCAGGAATTTCTTGTCAATTTCCCTTTCAGGTTGTTTATTAAATTTGTGCCCCAAATGACTCCTTTGTTAAAATAATGAAAAGATCCTTTGATCTTCAAAAATCAACAATTTCTTGTGATGTTAATTCCTGGGATATGGTAGAGTAATTTTTACGTAAAAAATGGAATTTGTACATTTTTATACAAGAGGTAGGCAACGAATACTTTCATTTTTACTGGGTTTAAACACGGACCAATCCCATGTCAGGATCTATGATGTCAGCAATTTACTGTCCAATCCAGCAGAGAGGTTCGTTATATAAACGTAGGCTTTGCCACCGCTTCTCCACAGGAGTTTCTTTCTCTGTTTTTACTATGGCTCGCACCAAGCAGACGGCCCGCAAGTCCACCGGCGGCAAGGCCCCGCGCAAGCAGCTGGCCACCAAGGCCGCCCGCAAGAGCGCCCCGGCCACCGGCGGCGTGAAGAAGCCGCACCGCTACCGGCCCGGCACCGTGGCGCTGCGCGAGATCCGGCGCTACCAGAAGTCCACCGAGCTGCTGATCCGCAAGCTGCCGTTCCAGCGCCTGGTGCGCGAGATCGCGCAGGACTTCAAGACCGACCTGCGCTTCCAGAGCTCGGCCGTGATGGCGCTGCAGGAGGCCTGCGAGGCCTACCTGGTGGGTCTGTTCGAGGACACCAACCTGTGCGCCATCCACGCCAAGCGGGTCACCATCATGCCCAAGGACATCCAGCTGGCCCGCCGCATCCGCGGGGAGAGGGCATAAAGTTCTCCGGCGTCTATTCTGCAAAAGGCTCTTTTAAGAGCCCCTTCATTGTCACCAAAAGCAAGCTGTTGCCTTAATTTTCAAATTTACACTACCCACGTTTAAGAAACCATTTTCTTAATAGCCACTCAGCATATGCGTTCGTATTTTTTGCTTATTTAGTTTTTAGCAATGCACTTATTTGTGCTTTTCAACTCGGGCTATAATTAATCAGCCCCTTGTATAGAGAAGCCCTTGAAGATGACTTAAAATCTGAGACCAGTTCTGGTTTTACATTATAGGCATATGTTCTTTCCTCGTTATCCTTTCCGGTCTCAACTTTGGAATGTGAAGGGTTGCAAATGAAACTTCAGAGCATACCCTTAAGATTAGTAGTTAATATAAAGTACCTGCCCTATTCTTCATGCTGCATTGGAGTGTTCCCTAACTGGAACTTGTTTGAATAGTGGAGATTTTTGGTTAAATTCATGGTTTTTCGCTTTTTAACTCAAGGCTTCACTCTAGATGAGGCTATCCTGGAATTTGGCAATCCTGAACCCTCTTAAGTCTTAATATAGTCTTTTTGTGTTTAGTTAGCCTGTTCTAGCAAGCAAGTAGTTTTAAGTTTTCTAAGTTACATCTTTGACATTACTTTAAACGATCTTTTATATGGTTTAAAATTTTCCTACGTTGGGAGTCACAATTTACTATATAGGTTTGGCTATTTTGTACACCATTCCTACATCACCTGTATCAAACGTGCGTTGGCCTCTAGTCTAGGTCCTTGTCTCGGTCTGTATTGCTAAGACAGTCTTTTTATTCGTTTTTACTTGAGGTAAGGTTTCAAGTAGCTCATTGTGCGCCTGGATACGTAGCATGAATGACCTTGTAGTCCTAATCTTGTCTCTTCTGCATAATTGGTAAGATTATGGGCGTGCCCCACCCAGTAAACCTGCATCAAGATTGTTATTGTCAAAAGAAACAGTATTTTAATTGTAAAATAAAACAACTGCAACCTTTGTGACTTATTTTACATCTGAATCAATATGATGATGTCCTTTATTAATGCAGAATTCTGTACATCTTTCCCCACCCTAGCAAGTCGCAGCTCTCACCATAGCAAACTTCACTTTCCCCCACAGCAAACTTCACTACTCCCCTTCTCTTTAACTTGTTTTAGTTTTCTCAAATTCTTTGAAACTCTGTTGGCCCCTTAATAATATTCTAAAATATTTTCCTGCTTGGCATCTCAACATGCAAAAAATATGGTTATTGGCTTTGACTATTAAGAGTATGTCCGATTGTGCTGCTTGTTAAATGTTTTGAAATTCTCACTGGCCATCTCAACCAATTGCATTTGAGGGCCATAGCGTCACCCTAATAATTTTCTGAACTTTTTTTTTTTTAGCAGTTTTCTATTGTAAATTATCTTTAGTAAGTATTTTTTGTCTTCAAATATGACTAGGAAATGTGACAAAAGCCCATCAATCAGATTCATATTTAATTAATTTTGACTTAGAATTAAGTTGGTTAGCCTCTGAAGTTAGTGATTTTTAAAAATCTTTATTTGAATGAGGTTTTGCCTACTTACATATATGTGCACCACTTACATGCCTGAGATCGGGAAAATCTATAAAATAGCCCGAGATCCCCTGAGACTCGAGTTACAGACAGTTGCAAGCTGCCCTGCGGTTCTGGGAAAGAAACGCAGATCTGAAAGAGCAGCAAATGCTCTTAACTGCCCTGCCATTTCAACAACTCCTGAGGTCAATGACTTCTAATCTTCCTACTTTAAAGAAGAAACCTTCATAATGGAAAAATTCCATTCTCCGTTATAGATAGCAATGTTTGGAAAGTACTAGCAGCCTGAACCATTTTAAAAAGAAATATCTGAAATGGTTAATTTCAGCCTGGAGCCAACCGGACACTCTTACCTGTGTTATTTGCTACAGTAAGAAACAAAGTTTGTGCCCAAACCAAAAACATTATTACTTTTACTCTTACAAAAATTAAAGGCGGGACTTGGGGACAAATCCTTTTAAGCAATGTTCATTGCATACTTCGTATAAGTTTATGGAAACATGCAAGTAACTATCAGGATGCTCTCTGCTTGCTGGATTCTTCGTAAACACTGGTCGGATTTTTATAAATATCTTTGGTCAATTGAATGCGATTCAAAAAAGCACGCATAGACATGTGAAACCGAAGGCTCTTCTTCTTTGGAACTCCAAACTGCCAATTTCTGTGCCATTATTTTCAGCAGTAAGTAAAAATTTGGGGACTAACAAACACAGTTTGGGATTCTAACCTTGAGTCGCTGTGGCCAGAGGGCGGTGGATTGGACGCTCCACCAATCACAGCCCAGCTCTGGCTTATATAAACCCGGGGCCTGAGCAAAGGAGCATTGCAAAATTTGCTCTTTGAGTTAGCTTTTCTTTACTTTTCTAGCAGCTTATATTCTGGCCATGTCCGAAACTGCTCCCGCCGAGACTGCTGCTCCGGCTCCCGTGGAGAAGTCTCCCGCCAAGAAGAAGACAGCCAAAAAGGCTGGCGCGGCAAAGCGCAAGGCCACCGGTCCCCCGGTGTCCGAGCTCATCACCAAGGCTGTGTCAGCCTCCAAGGAGCGCAGCGGCGTGTCCCTGGCCGCGCTCAAGAAGGCTTTGGCTGCTGGTGGCTACGATGTGGAGAAAAACAACAGCCGCATCAAGCTGGGGCTCAAGAGCCTGGTGAGCAAGGGCACCCTGGTGCAGACCAAGGGCACCGGCGCCTCCGGCTCCTTCAAGCTCAACAAGAAGGCGGCTTCCGGGGAGGCCAAGCCCAAAGCCAAGAAGGCAGGCGCGGCCAAGGCCAAGAAGCCTGCAGGTTCCACCCCGAAAAAGCCTAAGAAGGCTGCGGGGGCAAAGAAGACCGTGAAGAAAACTCCAAAGAAAGCAAAGAAGCCTGCGGCGGCTGGTGTAAAGAAAGTGGCCAAGAGCCCTAAGAAGGCCAAGGCTGCAGCCAAGCCTAAAAAGGCAGCTAAGAGTCCGGCAAAGCCCAAGGCTGTGAAGCCTAAGGCAGCCAAGCCTAAGGTTGCCAAGCCTAAGACGGCTAAGCCTAAAGCTGCTAAGGCGAAGAAGGCTGTTTCCAAGAAGAAGTAGGTTTGCTTCTGATAGCAACAAAGCCCCAAAGGCTCTTTTCAGAGCCACCCAGAGAGCTCTGTGAATGTAGCTGTACACACTGACCTAACGTTTCCAAAGGTCCCGCCTGTGTTCAGCTTTGGCCAACTAACCGAACACATAGCCATGCGGGCTCGTCTATAAGGTAAGGCTGCCAGAGTTTAATCGGTACTTGAAATAGAAATTCTGTCACTGAGGTACTGTACCATAGTCGTCATGTTACCCAGGACACGGGCGCTAAATAACCCTTTTTAAACGTTACACCCCTCTCCAATCTGGATCCCCCACCCCCCGGTGGCTCAAGTTCCCCCCCACTCCCACTCCCGCTTCCAGCTCGTCTGGACCTTTATGGGCGCACTACCATCCATGCTGAGAAGACACGGTGAGTCCACTTAGTCCGCACTGAGGCTGGATTCCCACCGTAGAAGTTAACGCAGGGCGCGAAAAAAGACCCGAATTCATTGGTTGCACATAGTCCAATCCCCTGACGCATTGGTTCCAAGGTTTTGTCCTAACCTTACCTTGATTGGGCAGTTGGTCGGTGACGTCTGGAGGCTCACGCTACTCATTGTCACAATTTGCTTACAATTGCAGCCTACACCCTACGTTTAAACGTTTCCATTTGTTCTTCACAGTTCTTTTGCCCGTGAAATCCGAGCCCGACCGGAAGGAGTTCTCTATGAAGGCGATGAGCAAATCTTTGAAAGCCTGCTAGAAGCAAGATTGCCGCCAGATAGGAGAGTTATTTCGTGTTCGTGTACAGGTGCTGTAGCAGCTACAACCCAGCACGGGCATCTCTTCCAGTGCCACATGCCAAGCACCCCGTGTCTAAGTGCGCCAAGACTGCATTTCAAGTCATTGTCACTTTTTGGTGTTTTTTCGAGACAGGGTTTAAATGTGTAACAGTCTTGATTAGTGGAACTAGCTCTGTAGACCAGGCTGGCCTCCAACGCATAGATCCGCCTGCGCCTGCCTCCTGAGTACCGGGATTAAAGGCGTGTGCCACCACCATCCGGCTCATTTACACTTATGGAGCATTTGCTTGGTTCTTCCATTGGTAGCACACAGACAGTGAAGTTCCTGGATAACAGACCTTTTGTTGCTTTAAAGGTTTCTTAATGTAATTGGTGTGACATCCCAAACAGGATTTTTACCGTATTTATTTAACATTTGGTCGGTTTTAAGCCTTAAAGAGTGTGTATCGTTTTCACTTTTAAGGTTAGATTGTTGCCAACGTTACTCAGTCATCCTTTGTGAACTGTTTCAGGCATGGCAGCTGGGCAGTCAGAAATAAGTAAATAGTCTTTAAGAACTTTCAAGTCACGTTTTCTTTAGCAATATAAGTTTTGGGAATGTGGTTTCTTGCTCACTCACTGCAGGCTTAATTTGCGTGAAATGCCCGAGTGTTATCGAAGTTGTTACACTGAGTTAAGGCACCCCACAGGCTTCATTTGACTCAGAATTGGCTTCTAGTGTAAACACTGCTGGCAGTGTGAACTTCTCTGCCAATTTGTGTATCTGATCTACACAGAGCAAAGTAGCCATATTTGTTTCTGTCGCCATACCTTTCTATGAAGTTCCTACTATGAAAATGCTAGCTTCATTTTGATGCCTGTGTTTTATTTGCCTTTTAACATCTTGCCCCTCTAAAAGATGATTTTTTGCGGTTACTTATTTTTCAGGTCTGGTCACAGTCAGCCCAGACTGACCTCCAACTGAAAGCAGCTCTTACTGAGCCTCAGCGCTGGGATAGCATGCTTTAGAATGCTTGTGCCATCCTGCCGAGCTGCCATTAATTCCACAGGGTTAGAATTTTCCTTCATCCACAATGGAGATTAGTCTTAAAATTAGCTGTATGTTTCATTTAGCTACATTTTTTTTTCTCGTCTGCAATGTGGGGGAGAAATTCTAAGCTATAAGCAGTATTTCTGAATGTAATGCCTTGCCTTAAGGAAAGACTCAAAGTGTCCTGTACCCCCCATCTCAAGACCTGATTCTGGAGAGATGTTAAGTGACCAGCTTGAGTATGTTGCAAATTAAACACCTTAGATTGTCAATATGTTTTCATATGTATTTTCAACAAATAGAAAATAATACATCTGTGACTAATTGGTAGGATGTGAAGGGGCCCCAAAACAGCTTGACCACACAGCAGCCATGACAGGCTTAGGGGCCTAGACACAGCTTCTGTGACAGGCTTACTGGCAGGCAACACCCAGATTCAGGAAAAGCTTTAAGCTTACACCACCCAGGGATCCACCCAGGGATGAGGAAGTACCTGACATCCCAAACATTCCAACCATTAGATAAGGTGGCCAGATGTCCCTGAGTCTAGCCCACACCTGTTTTTGTTTTACAGATACCCTAGACAATTGTCAGGCAATCAGGGTCCTGGACCCTGGAAATCCCCCTCACCCCAGCCACTGCTATGATAAAAACTCTGCCCTACCTGGGCTCAGGACTCTTTGTTCTTACTACTGTGTCAGACAGACAGAGGGACCAAGCTCTGGAGCTTGAAATTAAGGCTCTTTGCTTTTACATGCGGGATTCGGTCTCCGTGGTGATCTTTTGGGGGTCCCCTCAATCTGGGCATAACAAGGACAGAGTATATTTTTGAACTTGAGTAACAAAGGTATTTCAGAAGTTTGCTAGAGAGACAAGAAAGAGGTAGACAAATGTATGTTGCTTCATCTTTGCCTCTGAATTTTTTGTATTGATATCTCTTTATAGGAATATTTATTTGGTAGTTTAAAAGGGAACTCTGGAAAGTTTTTGTTTGTTTGTTTTGGTTTGGTTTGGTTTTTCGAGACAGGATTTCTTTGTGTAGTCTTGGTGCCTATCTTGGATCTCTCTCCGTAGACCAGGCTGGCCTTGAACTCAGAGTTCGGCCTGGCTCTGCCTCCCGAGTGGAGTGCTGGGATTAAAGGCGTGCGCCACCACCTTCCAACAAGTTTCATGACTTTTATCCATAAACATTTTACTGCTTTGACTTCGGTATCACTTTAAATCTTTAATCTTATATGGATTTGCAAAATTGAAGTATACTTTGCAGGGAAGTTTTCCTCCACTTTGGGATCCTGGCAATAAGTCTCTAGCAGTGATGATGGGCAACACAGAGGGCTTCTGATTGTTTTTTTTGTTTTTTTAATTTTTTTTTTCGAGACAGGGTTTCTCCGTGTAATTTTGGTGCCTGTCCTGGGTCTTGGTCTGTAGACCAGGCTGGCTTCGAACTCACAGAGATCCACCTGGTTCTGCCTCCCGAGTGCTGGGATTAAAGACGGGCGTCAGCACCGCCCGGCTTTGATTGTCTTGAAATATGTTGGCTACACTAGGCCTAAGCCAACACAGAGACCTAGAGCAGAGGATAGAGTACACTGTTGATGAAAATCTTGCCATTCTTGTTCATAATTGCATTTATTTATAGTTGAAGAAATGGAAACCAATGAGGTTAAATGGTAAATGGTTATATCAGGACCCCAGGCTCTGGGAAAGGAAACTTTTCTTCTCTCTCTCTCTCTCTCTCTCTCTCTCTCTCTCTCTGTTTTTGGGATCAGAATGGCTCTGACCCTCTAAGATTGCCCCCACCTCCCCTGTTCTGAGTGCGCTGAGGTCAGGCTGTTCTGCGGATGTTTTGCTGTTTGGTATGTCTCCTGGTTTGGCAGCTGTGGCTTCCTGGGGCATGCTGACCATTCCTTGACCCTGGGTGCTTGATAAACAATTTTGTTTGTTCCTCCTGAAGGGGTGTACAAGATGGGGAAGAAAGAATAAAAAGAGTCCTGATGCTTGCAACTTGAGTGGTGTGTGCTGTGTTCATCCCGACTTCCCTCGCCAGGTTTTGGGCCCAATTGCCCTGCGGGGTGCGCACTTTCTCCCTCCCTCGCTCCTTCTCTCTCTCTGTCTCTGTGTGTCTCTGTCTCTGTCTCTCTCTGTGTGTGCTCACGCACCATGCACGAGCTGGAGCTCGAGGCTCGCACAGGAGTAAGTAGTAAGGGGCACAAACAGCAGGAGAGGAAAGGGAACACTGATTTCAGTGGGGTTCTTGTTGCTGCTGTCAGTGCAGAAGTCACAGAGTCCTGTGCCCCAGACCTGGAAAGGAGAGGTAACATCACCAGGGCCAGTCAGAGGCGACCTCCCCCATAACCACACCTGCCTGCATCCTGGCTGCCGCCACTCCTGTTCCTGGCCTTCTCTGGGCCCTTGCTACAACTGTTATGTGCTATTTAGGTCCACCTCCACTGCCTTAGTTTTGCTGTATTCCAAAAGAATTATGAAAAAAATTGGTTAAGGGACATGGATTTTTTTTATACTTGACCCAAATCAGGGAAAGAACCTGTTCTCCACTGTTCCTGTGGCAATCTTATATTTTACAGGAGATAATGGGAAAAGGATGGACTATAGGGAAGTAAGACAGGTTTATAGGGCTTTTTCTGGGGTGAACATTGAGCCTGTGGAACAAAGCTGGCCCCCTCCCCCAATTACATAGCCTAGGGTGGCCTTAAACTCTCATCATCCCACTATCTAGGACCACAAAACAGGGAAATCTTGGCTTTTCTGGGGATGATTCTCTGGGTTAGGAGGGAGCAGGCTGGACAGAGAGGAACACTTAAAGTTGGGAAAGGCTTTTAGACAATCTCTGCGGTCATGCTTGGCCACCCTGTCTACCCATTGCCCTTCTATGTCTGCCATTGGGAGTGGGGGTGGGGGGCTGTGCTTTGACAGGGTGGGGTATTGTTGTAACCAGAGTCCCTCAGAGACCCATCAAGAGACCAAATCCGATGCAAAAGCAGTCTTCATTGTTCTGAGATAACTCGGGTCTCTCCGTCTGTCCGATGCAGCAGCAGAGTAGGAGAGATCTCAAGTAGCAATGGAGCAGGGTCTTTATAGGGGGTAAAGCAAAGGGGTCTTGGGGTCTACAGACTACATAGGAACAGACTCAGGATTGGTTTATGCGAGTGGTAATCATGTTAGTAACTTTAAACTGGCTAGGGTTAGTTGGGGGTTACAGTTATCCATTTTTGGGCAGGCCTGGACAAGT